GGTGCAGGGCACAGGACATGGCTGCTCTCCGGGGTGCAGGGCACAGGGCATGGCTGCTCTCCATGGGCACAGGGCACAGGGCATGGCTGCTCTCCATGGGCACAGGGCACAGGGCATGGCTGCTCTCCGGGGTGCAGGGCACAGGACATGGCTGCTCTCTGGGGTGCAGGGCACAGGGCATGGCTGCTTTCCAGGGGCGCAGGGCATGGCTGCTCTCCATGGGCGCAGGCCCCCCAGCCTCTCCATCCAGGGAGCGCCTCTCTTCATCCCACCCACTCTCTTCCTTCCGTTGACCTACACATTTTCCTTCCGGTGTTTGCTTTTGCCCTGATCTGCAGTACTGTGGTTGAAAATGTTACCAAAATCACTTTGTTTGCATCTTTTATGGTTTCCGTTTGACAGGCAATGCCGGGGCCCCGGTCTGCTCAGCTCTATCCGAGCAGACACCAGCCCGTGGCTGGGCTGTGAGGCAGCTCCGAGAGACCGTTTCCTGCGAATCTGGTGCACGGCTCCAGCAGACACTGCACCAAGGAACTGGTGCTCAGACGCCAGGAAGATGGCAGCTCCCCACTCTGCAAAAGCCCCGACCAGCACCCGCTGCCGGTCCGCGCCGGAAGTGCCCCTCCATCCGCACAGCCAGGGTACATTTTGATGTTCAACATGCCCCATGTTATCTCAAGATGTGGAGCTCAGGGTGAGCACTGAATCCAATGCACCAAGGTGCAGAGAGGGCCAAACTGGTCATCCTGTGCCAGGCCCAGAGAAGACAAGCCACGTGGGATGGGAAAGGCATCAAAAGAAAACAGAAGCCAAAGAAGTTTTAGCTGAGGACGGTAGAATGCTGCAGAAAGGAAAGAATGAAAATAGGAGGGAGGGAGGGAAGGAAGGGAGGAAGGAAGTGAGGGAAGGGAGGGAGGAAGGAAGTAGGGAAGGAAGGAGGGAGGGAGGGAAAGAAGGAGGGAGGGAAGGAGGGAAGGAGGAAAGGAAGGAGGGAGGAAGGGAGGGAAAGAAGGAAGGAAGGTAGGAGGGAAGGAGGGAGGGAGGGAAAGAAGGAGGGAGGGAAGGAAGGAGGGAAGAAAGGAGGAAGGAAGGGAGTGAGGGAGGGAAGGAAGGAAGGGAGGAAGGAAGGAGGGAAGGAGGAAGGAAGGAAGGGAGGGAGGGAGGGAGAGGGGAGGGAGGGAGAGAGGAGGGAGGGAAAGAAGGAGGGAGGAAGGGAGGGAAAGAAGGAAAGAAGAAGGGAGGGAAGGAAGGAGGAGGGAAGGAGGAAGGTAGGGAGGAAGGAAGGAAAGGAAGGAGGGAGGAAGGAAGGGAGGAAGGAAGGAGGGAGGGAAGGAAGGAAGGGAGGGAGGAAGGAAAGGAAGGAGGGAAGGAAGGAAGGAAGGAAGGAAGGAAGGAAGGAAGGAAGGAAGGAAGGAAGGAAGGAAGGAGGGAAGAGGAAAGGGAATGGAAGACCTCATGATCTTTATTACAACCTCAAAAAGCAACTCTTAAGCACTAAAGCTATGTTACAAAACTAGGATGTTTGTCTTGAGACTAAAGTCAAAACTAAAACCAGATCTATGTTAACAAAGCATGTTAAGCCCCTAACAATGAGTGAAAGGACAGCTCCTTAGACCCACGGTGACCTGTCTATCAGAACACAAATTCACCACTCCTAGAGGAAAGCAGCAAAATCATTTGCCTTGTGTTCACTCCGTTTCATAATAAAATGCTACAAGGCAAACAATAAAACAGGAAAATGTGAACCAAACATAGAGAATAGTTACTATAGTCGATGGTCCTTGGTGCTGGCTGGCCCAGCGCCACGTCCTGTCACTGAAGGATATCTGAAAAGCAGAGTTCTCCAACAGAAGAGGGCTCTTCATTGATGCTCCAAGTCCACCACGTCCCCTCAGGAACCTGGAACAACGGCAAAGTGAATCTTGAAGTAGTCCACAAAGGAGACACAGGAGGTAGCAGTGAAGTGGAGCTTTACTTCCTGCCAGAGACAAAGCAGGTTACAAGGAACAAAGGAGATGGGCCAGTGCCCAGTTCTGACAACTGCATCAGAGGAAAGCAGAAAAGTCTACGCGTGGCCCCTTACCTGCTAGACCTGGACCTTCAGTGCACGTGTGGTTACTGCTAGACCTGGACCTTCAGTGCACGTGTGGTTACTGCTAGACCTGGACCTTCAGTGCA